CTCATTAAGCCAAATAAAAAAGAGAGCTCAAGAATTACAAAACTAAGAATGTTCAAACCTTATAATATGAGTTTATATTTTTCTATTCTTGAGTTATTTTATTTTTATGTGTATATTAGGAAGGCAATCAAGCACACACTCATGAGTGGGGATCAAAATTGAATACTTGATTTCCCAGTTAAATTATATTCTAGGATCGATCGTACTGCACAATCAATTATTTCAAAAATTAAATTAAGTGTTTATAAAAATTGAATAACTAATCATACTATACGATCTTGATCATCTAGGATGATCATTTATTTTGATAATAATCGCTTGAGATTTTTTATTAAAAAAATAGGTGAATTTGAATTTTGAAATTGAAATGATCGTATTGAAAGGGAGTTCTTTCTTTGTGAAAGCTTGTACAAACTACTTGGAAGAGAGGGCTAGGGCAAGGGCGAGGTTAACATAAGGTTTCTTGAGGGAGTCCAGGGTTTTGTGAGGGAGATCACATGGTTATCTTTGTGAGCCCGCACCTTTGTCCTTCAATATTTGTGTTGGGTGACCTTGGAGAGGAGCTCTAGAGAGAGTCTTTGGGTGAAAGGCTTGTAATTAGCCGAGGAGGCTAGGAGAGCGACCTTTACGTCGTTGCAAGGAACAAAAGGAAGGCGAGACACCTCCATCGTACTGGGAAGTAGAATGAGAGAGTTTAGGCTTTTGAGGAAAGAAAGAGTTTGTGAAAGTCATTCTCCATCTAAGAATAGAGAAAGGATTCTTCGCCATGCTAAATGTAGGAGTTTTTTCTAGTAAAATTCCTAAGAAACTTAGGGTGGATAGATCAAGTTGACCGAACCACTATAAAAATTATAATTTGTGTTTCTATACTTTTTGCATTATTTATTTCAAGTATTTTGTTTTGCTCAAATCCACATTTTCAAGAATTGTGGTGCATCTAAATTTTTTTCAAAAATATTTCTTCATAATATTTTCTACAAACCAAAATACTTTGCTTAGGTTATTTTATTATTTTTTTAAACAATTACCTCTTCTAATATTTTTTTTTCATCCTTAATACACTTCAATTGATCTAAATCCTTACTACTTCTATCTCTAACTCAAGAGAAATAAATGGGGATATTATTAGTAGGATTAAAGTTAGATTGTTGAAGTGGGGGAATGCATCAGACTTGTTGTGTGACTGAAAAGCCTCCCTTAAACTTAAGGAAAATTTCTATAAGATGGTAGTGAGACTTGCAATGCTTTACGGGGCAGAATTCTCACCATTAAAAGAGAAGCATAAAATTAAGTTAAGCGTTGTACATATGAGGATGCTCAGGTAGATGAGTGGTTTTATTCTTAGAGAGGTTACGAAATCAGCATATATATGAAAATGTTGGATTAGCTCTAGTGGAATATAATATTAGAGAGAGTCGCCTTAGATGGTTTAGTCACATAAAATGGAGGCCTTCTGATGACCCGGTTAAAAAAGTAGAGTTATTAGATTTGACTTATGTTAAGAAAGATAGAGGCAGACTGAAAATGACGAAAATGACTTGATTAGAAAATATTAGAAATGACCTTTCTTTATTTGATTTAAATAAAAATTTGACTCTTAACGGGACACAATGGAGAAAAAAATTATTCATAGTGCCAACCCCATGTGATGGGACAAAGACTTGATCCCTCCTTTGATCTAAATTTCCTATTCTAACATCCCAACAATCAATCCATCTATTATTCCATTTAGTCCAAGTGGCGTTGATCTAAAAGCAAGCAGCATGTGTTTAAATTCCTGTATCTCAAGGTACATGTGGCGAAAGTTTCAAGTGTCAAGCTGAGAAAGACCAGGTCAACAAGGTACTTAATTCTCCTAATGCTTGGTTAAAGCCTAAAGTTACTCATATTAATGAGGAAGATTTTTTTTTCGTAAAAATGTATAATGAGGAAGATTTTTTTTTATTTTTTTATAATGAAGATATTTCTATCATAACAAAAGATAGAATTAGGGTTACAATAAGTTTTGAAGAAGTTGATCTGAGTGCTAGGCATCTTCAGAAGGTGCTGGGCAATGACGGAGCCAAAAAATTTTATTGAGGGGGCCTAAATTAAATACTTGAAATTTCCCTCAATATTTTTCATACGCATTTGGGACCAGCATAGGCAGTTTAAAAGAAAAATTCAATTAGTATTTGATTCAATATTTTCCACATTTAATTCCAATTTTTTTTGGTTAATCTACATCCACTCTAGTGCTTATTTTATTTTCCTCTTCATCCTTATTGTTATTCTCATATATATATATATATATATATATATATATTTGAGGTATATAACTCTAAACTCCTTGCATTCATCTCACTGCATTTCAAATGATTTCCATGCTATACTAACACTTGGGGAGAAAGTGCCAGAATTTGCATACAAATTGATCTTACAAAGAAGCTTCCAACAGGAGTTTGGTTTTAAGGTATTCAAGGACGTTTTTTCCAAAATGTTGAATACAAATGTATTTCTTCTTTATCTTTCAAATCTGGATTTTTGGGACATATTAGTCCTAATTGTAAAACTCAGTCAAGAAATATTAATTTAGCAAATTCAAGATCTGAAGCTGAGTTGAAGAATACTGCATTGGAAAGGGAAGTAAATACAAGTAATGGTTATAAATCAAATCGGCAAGGAATGCAACATGATAACCATTATGGCCCTTAGAATATTGTTCCTAGGAGACAATACAAACCTGCTTATAAAAGGAAAATTGATTCCAAAATAATTGATACTAATCAGTCGATGGCTACAACTAAGCATGGCATTCAACAAAATGTTAAAGGAAAGATTTCTTGTATGCCAGCCGGAGCTTACAGTTAGGAAAATCTAAATGCTGTTGCAAATGAAGAGGATGATGGATCATGTACTCAAGTCACAAGAAGACCTGGGAAGCCAAAGATTAACGTACCATTACCAGATTTCTCAGTAAGTTTCAATCATGGTAGGATTGGAATGCATTTAGGCCAACACCGTTTGATTTCAGGAACAAGTTCTACGTGACAGAAGAGAGTGGAATTTGCTGCTTCCACAGCAGCTATGGATGCAGATCATCGTCATGCTTCCACTGCATTGGGATTAAGTATCCAGTAAGTAAGATACAATCCACAAATTCTGATTTAGAGTTGTTTCAATTATTTATTTTTGGGAGGCTAATTATTATTCACCGTGCCACTAGTTGGGACGCTAATCAACCTTTGTGGTTGTTTTCTAAAATTTAGCATCCCCATTAACTTGATTTGATCAGGGATATAATTGTTGAGTCCCAAATTCAGTATGACAATCGCACGTTGTTAGTACAAGAAGGCAAAAAGTTGGAAGAAGATGATGGTCATTCTTAGTTTTTTAAGTGGACATTGTTGGTCATTAAAAGAGAAGCATAATACTAAGTTAAGAGTAGCTGAGATGAGGATGCTCAAGTGGATGAGTAGCTTTACCCATAGAGATAAGATATGAAATGAGCATATATATGGAAAGTTAGAGTAGCTCCATTTGAAGATATGACTAGAGAGAGTCATCTTAGATGGTTTGATCACATAAAACTGCGGCGTTCCGATGACCTGATTAGGAAAGTAGATGTATTGAATTTGACTTATATTAAGAAAGGTAGAGGTATATCTAAAAAGACTTGATTAGAAAATATTAGAAATGATGTTTATTTAAACGAGAATTTAACTTTTAACATGACATAATGGAGAAAAGATTCATGTAGCAGACCCCACGTAGTGGGACAAATGCTTGATGTTGTTGTTGTTGTTGTCGTTTGTGCCACGATTTATCTTTATTGTTTTTTTTTTTCATTTGTGTTTCCTCTTTCTTTTCTTTTGTGAAGAAATTATTAGGTCCTAGGTTTGCTTTCCTAGTTGTTGTCGCTGTTTAATTTATTTTTCTTGTTATAAAATGCTATATGCAACCTAAAAAAAAAAAAGAAATATCTTGCACGGAAATCCATCAATCTATTTGAAGCTCAATCACTCCTGACCTGCCTTTCTATAAAATGGTAGACTTTGAAATTGATCCAAGTCCCATAATATTTCACCTAAAAAACCTAGTACTACCACTCTACAAAACTAACTGTAGCATGATATGAGTAAATAAATAAAATTATAGCTATTGTAAGCTATCCTTAAATTCACGAAATGGTATATCATCATTTATTGTGGCCAAGTGATTTATTTATTCTTAGGCTTGGTTTGGGACAATTTTTTTTTATTTTTTTTTTTATTTTAATACTAAAACTCTATTTTAAGAAGCAATAAAAAAGCCGTCACAAACTACACCTTAGACATCACTTGAGACAACTTTCTTACTACTTTCTAAAACAAATTTTTAGCACAAAAAATTTTTTAATTTTAAATTTTTTTTTTATTAAAAAACTAATTTAATAAGTTAAGTGTGGCAGAGATGAGAATGCTCAGGTGGATGAGTGGCTTTACCCTTAGAGATAGGATACGAAATGAGCATATACGTGAAAAGGTTGGAGTAGCTCCAGTAGAAGATAAAATTAGAGAGAGTCGCCTTAGATGGTTTGGTCACATAAAACGACGGCCTTTCGATGACCCGGTTAGGAGAGTTGAGGTATTAGATTTGACTTATGTTAAGAAAGGTAGGGGTAGACCTAAAAAGACTTGGTTAGAAAATATTAGGAATGACCTTTCTTTATTAGGTTTAAATGAGAATTTGACTTTTAATAGAACACAATGGAGAAAAAGGATTCATGTAGCCGACCCCACGTAGTGGGATAAAGGCTTGATGTTGTTGTTGTTGTTGTATTAAAAAACTAATTTAGAAAACAGTATGAAATTGTCTCAAACAAAATCTTAGAATAATCTCTGAAAAGATTGCTGGGGATTGTTGGTCTCTCCCGTTACCAACTTGTTATTAGTGAATGCATATTTTTTGTGATCAGAAAAGCAGAATTTCAGACGAAGTCACAATCTGGATGACAAATACAATAAATTAGATTTTGAAGATAAATGTAACTTCTAAGAAAACTATAATGAATATGACAGCTGTTACAAATGAGACGAATGCAGAATTTTTACCTAAGCAGTTGTTAATCTCTTCACTTTTCCTTTTCAGTTCCATATAAAAATTTAGACTTATGCTTCGTTTGATACAGCTTTTTTACTGCTTTCTAAAACAATTTGTAATATAATTTAAAATTTTTTGTATAAAAAACTGCTTTAAAAGCAATAAGAAAACTGTCTCAAACAAAACCTCAATCAGCTTCTCTTCCGATTAATGCTGCAGCTTGGCTTTCCAAATTCTTAATTTTCGTAAGTGAATTTGTATGTCAAAAACATCAAATCATACAAAAAAATCAGATACTCACCATACCTGTTGATCTTCATCAGAATCTCGTTTGAGAGCTAAAAGCCTGTCCAACGAGACAGGCTTATATTCCCAGCTTCTCTCCCTCGAAAACCTGAGATTTGATCTTTTACAGTTTGAAAGTTGTTTACTATTCACAGCAGATTGCCTCATGTTCTCTTTGTAGCTTATCCCATAGGCATAATAGCTTCCTTGGCCCCTGATAATGAGCGAGGACATAGTCGGATTCACAGCCAGCATTGTAGAACCGTTCATCATTCACATAATTCACCTTTCCACCGTTCTCCTTGAACTCTTGAATCCAAATTCCCATCGCAACATCTTCAAGCTTGAAAAGCTAGAAAACAAAAGAGAGCAGATTTATAAATCATATATTCAACCAACTGTTTGGTTTAGTGTTATTAAAAGTCAGGGTTATAGCTTAAATACTATGCATTTTAATTCAGCATCATTGTATTCAAAGAAGTGCGTATTTTCAGGATTGTAAATATTAAATTGTTGAGACGTTCAAACATTTCTAGATATCGAACTAAATATTTGACATCTCTTAATAATATCACCTAGCATTAAGTTGACTTACTTTGAGTTTGCCACCTTCATGACCCTTCACAACAAATTTGGCAATGTCTCTTGAGATTATGTATCCAGGACCATGAGCCCAAGGAGGATAGGAATCATTAGACCATTCCTGTATGAAGGAGAGAATAATTCATGTGGTTATTCATCCAGGTAGCAAAGAAGTTAAGGCTACAGGTGCCTATAAAATTAATTGTAGAGTAATTATAAGAAAAGTAGAGTTTTTAAAAACTGTTATGAATGCTATAAATTTATTCATTAAAAAAATAGGTAATAATTTTCTTACAGCTACTGCAATCTAATAGACATGATCATAGAAAAATTCTGCCATAAAAATTTCTAAATAAAATTATAGTTAAGCGAAATGTGACAATAATTTGTAAAATAAAGCACACTCTAAGTTGGTGTGACTACTAAAATTCAATATCTGAGAGAGAGAGCGAGAGAGAGAGAGAGAGAATATGTACCGCCTCACTAATGTACCACTTGCTATCTTTATCCCTGTGGGGAGATGATTCAAATGAGATGAGACCATACAATAGGCCATTGGGATCATTTTTCTTAAGAGCAGATATGACCTCATCAATTCTCACAAAAGCATCATCGTCAGTTTTCATGATGTATTTGGCGGGAAGTAGTTTCGTCTGCAAATAAAATCTAGGAGTTACGTCTCTCACTATTGGTGACATAAATTATCCCGTTCAAGAAATTGAACTAAATTTTTTATAGGGAATATATAATAAATTAAGATAAAATTAATTAGCGTGGAAAAACGTACAAATATAAATCAGAAATTTCGAAATTAGAAATGTTGACATCAAGATCAACAGCAAAAAAGACTACTGTAAAAAATTAAAAAAGTTCCGCAAGCTGAAGTTTGTTTTAAGATAGGAATAGGGGGTTAATAATGTCTTCTTGAGGATTAAATATACAAATTTGTACTTAGTGGAAAAAATATACTTAAAAAAAGATGCCGTTATGCCAATTAAAATATTAAATTGAATATCAAGTAAATCATTTTCTCAATCAACGATTCTTAGAGGCTTAAGGGGCTGTTGGGTTTGTAGAAAAAGAAATGAAGAGTAAAAAAAAATTATAATGTAAAAGAAATGATCTTTTTTTATTAGATTTAAATGAGAAATTGACTTTTAACAGAATACAATGAAGAAAAAGAATTCATGTAGCCAACCCCACGTAGTGGGACAAAGGCTTGATGTTGTTATTGTTGTTGTTGAGTGTTGACCAACAATAGTAAGCGCATCCAACAATGATGACGAATGGCCGGCAATGACAGCAGGTGCTAGTGACTGCTTCAATAGTGGCGAAAAGCAGGGTGGTTGGCTGTTAGTTCATGGTGGCCATTTAGGTTTTATGTATTTTTATTTTTTTCGTGTTATTGGACGCTATGTATTTTATTTTTATATTACCCTATGATGGAAAACCAAGGATCATGTTGGGTTCGGCGCTCTCAGGATGGTTCATACCATTGACTTTTCATTTGAGTTTGATCTTGATTCCTTACTCCTTGTTGGCTGGTTGGGTATTTAGTTATGGGCTTTTTTTTCCTTATTGAGCTTGACCCATTTCTCCCCTTGCTTTATGGCTGCTTGGGATTCTTCCCTCTCCCTTTTAACTGTTCGTATTTCCCCTTGCTTTATGGCTGCTTGGGATTCTTCCTCTCTCCCATTGGCTATTCGATTTTCCTCTTTTGCAGATTCCTATGCTTGATGCTTCGGCTTCTCCTTTGAGAGCTGATTTAGAGTGCTTTATTGGCTGAATTGTGGGCTCATTTAACTAAAAAGTTAAATGCTCTTTCCCCTCCCTCCCCTATATAAAGTGATTGATTCTCTATTGCACAAGATAGTTTTTGGGTGAAAATTTTCAATCTGAGAGTTCCTTCGTGGCTTGCGAGCTATTGTTCTCCCTATTTCCTATTCCTTCCTCTCGGTCTTCTTTCTACTTCTTCTCTCCATAGTTTCCATTCCACCTATATCTTTCTTTTTTAAACATTGTGAGTTGTGAAGCGGTGTTGTTACTATGTTCTGCTGGTATTTGTCCGAGGAGTGCAGACTTGTGACTCCGAGGAGTGCAGACTTGTGACGGATCAAATTTCAATAGTGGATTACTCGTTAGATCCTTCTTTTGAGCACATTTTTCTAATTTTGTGTATTGCATGTGAGGTGACCATTCGTGGTTGTTTTGAGGGTTATTATTGTTTATGTGCTTTATATCTTTCTTTCCTACGTGATTTCCTAAACACTTTCTAGCGTTTGCTTTCTACCAATTCACTCTCCATTTGTGTTTGTTATTGAAAGGAAATTTCTTATTTGCGTACCTGAGTGTTCTCCTAAAAGGTGTAGATACTTAGATTGCATCACCATCAGCGGTGGCGAGTGATGACAACTAGCTTACAATGAGAAAAAAATATGATTAAACTTGGTGAGTTACAAATGCAACAAAAATGAACGGAGTAAAAAAAATTCATTGAAATTTTACAGTGCATTAACTTTTTATTAAACCAAACACCCAAATTTTATTTTACTTGGCACTTCTTTTTTAGAAAATAAATAGCCCTAACAAAAAGGAGTCTAAAAAGTAGTGTAAAAATTATATTGACATTCACAAACTGCATGTATGTAGGTTTTCTTTTTCCTAAATGATAATGTTATATTTAATGAGAAAGGTTAATTTAAATATAAATTTAAGATTATGTTAGATGTACAAAATTCGATGATTTACATGGGAGAAAAAATTAAAAAAAACATAATAATTAAAAGAGGAATAAATATTCTTTGTTTATATGAGAGTCAATGAAAAAAATAAATTTTAAAAATACCAAGAAAAATTACAAGTTGAATTTTGATAGGCTAACAATAGAAATAAGGAAATAATGAATAGGAACTTGGAATATAGATACTCTTACAAGCAAATTGATGGAATTAATAGATATTATGATCATAGGAAAATAAATATTCTATGCATTTAAAAAATTAAATGAGTTGGGAAAAAGGCTACAAGATTGATAGTTTTGAGTTTAAACTTTGATAGTCACATAGAAGTCATACTAAAAATTGTATAGGTGTGATTATAAATATGTTGACCTCTACAAAGAAAACAAAAATAGCAAAATTTGTATGTACCTCGGACTGAAATCCCGCGAATCCCGCCTAAAATCCCGCAAGCTGCTTTGATTCACGATCATTTCCCGGATATCCAACGATCCTTCCTGGATCGCAACTCACCCTGAGTCGTTAAAATGCGAAGAGAGCGACACTCTTTGGTGCTGCTTCGACATTCCTCCACACTCACAAAGCCAGCTCCAAAACTCCCGTAGCTGCTTCTGATCCTCTCATCCCCGCGACCTTCCACCTTAACCCATCACCTGCTCTTCTTCATCTCATAGCCGCAAGAGAGCCTTCAACCTCTAGAACCCGACCTCTGCCGAACTCCACCTCTTCCGAACTCCATCCCAATACCCTTCTTCTCCCTTCGATTCCCTCCAGCAACCTGACACCAAAACTTCGGCCAAAGTCCCCTGCTCCACTCAGCATTTCCTTCCATCTTCATCCTCTGCCCTAGATTTGACGCCCCCAACCGATCTCCTTGCTCAATCCTTCAATCTGTAGAGAGAGAGAGAGAGAGAGAGAGAGAGAGAGAGAGAGAGACCAATATGCATCCAGCTTCTCGACCTTCACCTGACCTCCACGCCTATAGCCTCCTACACGATCGAACTCCTCAAGCAGTCAAGCCCTATTCGAACCGAGCTGAAGACCCTGCCCGATTTATTCCTCACAACTACAACCTCTTCTCCACTTAGTAAACCACTCAAGCCCATTCGACCTAGCCTACCCGAACACCTTTCTTGTTGGTTTCACCTAACCGAGCTCTAACATCCCTCCTACAGAAGACTCGTACTTGAACATGAACTCAGACTCAAGCTGAACTGAACTCGAACTGAAGTGAACTTGAATGTGGACCGAAGCTGACAAGGACAAGGGATGCACTTGAACTCGAATTGAACTCATGTTTGGATTAAGATGATACCAAATCAAAATTGCACTTAAAATGATATTACGATTTGTAAAACAATAAGATCCAAGTTAAATGCAAAAGAGAATATATGGAATTTGTGGACAATAAGATACTTGCAAACTCTACTTGCTTACAAGTAGTGATGAATTATAGATAACTTAATCAAATTCCATGTCATGATATGTTGTTCTCAAAAGAAAATACATTATTTGCTTGCAAGCAATAATCAATAAGGATACATGGTGAATATGATGAGTCCACACAACTATGATGTATTATCTACAACTGAAGGACTTGTAATCACAACTTGTTTGCAACAACAATCACATTAAGATAAAAAAAAAACCCTTTGCATAAAGAACTCTCCAATAAAATTTGAACAAAAAAGGATGAATCCTTCATAATGATGACATAGTATTAATAAGCAATGGTGAAGACTTACAATCAACCTACCAATGCATTTGTGAGTGGAGGACAATGCATATATGACGGACGCAATGATCCTTCTACAACTATGAACGAGAATAAATCGTTTGCGACAAATTTGTAGATTCACTTATAAAGAAGGGAAGAAATTTGTAATGGGTACATTACTTTACATGCGAGCAACATGTCTATGGAGTTGACAATAATAGTTGAAGGATTTGTGACATTCAACATAACTTCTGTAAGCAATGATGAACAACATGTAGGGAGTATATCATATCCACAAGCAAGATAAGAAGATTGCAAACGAAGTGGTATCCTTGCTATTGATATGAATACGATCATTCCTAAGGATATCCAAGGGAAAAGAGCAATAGCCGGTGGGCAAACATGAATCCCTATGACTCATCGTAAGAGGTTTATCATGTATATGACATCTCGTCCACAAGCAAAATGAGAAGATTTATAGCGTGAATTATAAAGCTTATGGTGAATAAGACCCCAAGTATAATTGCTCATATGCAATGGTCGGCAAACAATCAATAAAGAGATGTGGCCTAATTACAAATAAAGCATAAAGAACCTTGGCAATGATTTGATTTGTCAGGATGTGTCTAAGAAGTTATTCGCAAATATACGTCATATTACATACAATGAGTAGTATGACTTCTCTCTAATTAATGACAATCAACTCGTGGATAAGTGCATTGGTTGCCTATGCATACTAAAAATCAACACATAATGAACATGGTAGATAACTGATGAATGTTTGGGGAGGGCATAAACAATGTATACAACTTATTCAACGGTTAGCTTCATTTCATAGATGAGCCCCTTCATCTATCTGCAAACAATGTGGGTTGTTATGTGATGAATACAACCCACACTCTGTGAATTCATTAAGATGTAGAGATGAAGGAATACAAGGGTGTCTCCATCATTAACAATGATCAGACTCTAAGAAAAGACAATCAATTCCCTACAAACATAAGAGTTCAATTACACTATTAGAAACCTGTTACACATTCAACATGCTGTCTGTGGACAAATATAAAAGAACTATGGTAGATAACAACATCTTCTAGTTAAAGAAGGAGATTAATTAGCGCACTACAATCTACCTGCATAAATCATAAAAATAGTGCATGACAGTCTACCTGTACAAAGCAGCAAACAACTGATCCAG